GCCGGACGCCGCGAGGTGCTCGCCCGCGCCCGGCAGGTCCAGCGCACCGACGACGTCGCGCGCGAGCTGCGCGAAGACCGCGTTCGCGGCGGCCTGGAGGCAGACCTCGAGGAGCACCGACGGCAGCCGCGCGGCCCCGTCGTAGGCGCCGAAGAGGCCGTCGACGCAGCCGCCGAAGCAGAGCGCGATAGCGGCGTAGGCGAAGGCATACGCGCCGGCCTCGACGAGCGAGGCGACGCGGGCGCGCAGCGTCGCGGCGAGCTGCCCGCGCCGGAAGAAAGCGGCGAGCGCCTTGGCGGCGACGAGGCCGCAGACGCAGAGATAGACGACGTCGAACGTGTCCGAGCTCACCTCGAGTTCCACGTGCACGGGTTTCCGTCCGAAGAGGCCCATGATTCTGGCTGCCCCGTCGCAGCGGAGGCAGCCCGGATCGAGATCGAACTGCGCGCGCGCCGACGGAGCAGTCAAACAATGTCATCCACCGTCATCCGCACAAGCATGGGCACGCCTCGTCGACCCGCGCCGTTTCGAGGGCTCGGCTAGGCCGCGCCGCGTCCCCGCTGAGAGCCACCATGCTCCGGACCGTCGCCCTCGTCGCGGCCCTGGCGCAGGCCTGGGTCCCGCGCCCGCGCGCGACCCCGAAACCGCTTTCCCACCGGAGACCGCACGCCCACCTGAGACCGCCGACGCGCCTCCGCGCCACGGTCGAGCGGTCCGAGTTCCTCTACGCGGCGGACATCGAGGCCCACAGCGCGACCCTCGCGTCGACGCTCGCGGCCTGCGGAATCGACGACACCGCGGAGATGGCGTCGTACGCGGACGCGCTCGAGGGCGAATCCGAGTACCTCCGCCCGAGCGGCCGCAAGGCCGTGCGCTACGCCGTCGAGGTCGCGTTCCTCGCCCACCGGGGCCAGAAGCGGCGGTCCGGCGAGCCCTTCGTGACCCACCCCGTCGAGGTCGCGAAGATATTGGCGCGGACGCACATGGACCGCGACACCGTCGTCTCGGGCCTCCTCCACGACACCGTCGAGGACACGGACCTGACCTTCGGGGAGGTCGAGGCCATGTTCGGCGTCGACGTGCGGCGCATCGTCGAGGGCGAGACCAAGGTGTCGAAGCTGCCGAAGATGGCCCGCGATCTGCCCGCCGCGGACGCGGAGAAGGAGCAGGTCGAGAACATGCGGTCCATGTTCATCGCCATGGCCGAGGACTGGCGCATCGTCGTCGTCAAGCTCGCGGACCGGCTCCACAACATGCGGACGTTGCGGTTCATGCCCCCGCGGAAGCGCGCGAAGATCTCCCGCGAGACTTTGGAGATCTTCGCGCCCCTCGCGCACCGCCTCGGCATGTGGCAGTACAAGACGGAGCTCGAGGAGACGTCCTTCGAGCATTTGTTCCCCGCGGAGTACGCGGCTTTGGACGAGGCCATCGCGCGGAAGCGGACGACGGTCGAGGCCGCGCTCGAGGAGTGCCGGGCTGTGTGGAAATCAAC